ATATAACTTCATTGAAGAAAATAAATGAAAACGACCTATTAAATTTTTGAAGCGTTGAGCTGAAAACTCAAGATGTCTCACGATATCGAATAACGCTTTCAGTGAATGATAAAACGTAATCGGTTACTCTTAATAGTGAGTACACTCGATCCACTTAGTTTTAGAATTTAAATTAGGTCAACATACTTCAGTCCGATTTTTCAACTTATTTTTATACCTTCTTTGGATAAAACATAACTAAATAGAAAATGTCCAATAATTTTCATTCAATAAAGTATGAATTATTGTTACTCTGTTATTAACCAATTCAATTCTAAAACATTTTGAGGCTATTTTTAAAATTAATGTACCAAAACACTTCATTCTTCGGTAATCGGTTGGCTACCTACAATTGTAAGTACCCTAACTAGAAATGCTGTACTATTTTAATGGTCCAATAAAAAAGTATCTATAGAAAAACTTATGTTCACGTTATTGTATGATCTTATTCATCGATTACTGGTCAATTGAAGCTTTACTATTAAGATCATTGTTTCCTTATTGGCAAGTAGAAGAAGTGAGGTGAGTCCCATTGCAACCTCAAGGACTGCTGTCAAGGTGGTTTTCATCGCTCCACTAATTACTATGCACGCTAGTTTCTGCAGCTTCCGTAGATTATCTCTTACAATAGTTTGCTTAGCTTTCTTCTACCAGATAGATGTTTATTCCATAAGTCATTCTGTTCAAATTCTTATCTTTATCATCCAGTCATGATTTCGCACAAATTTGAATTTATCAAAAATCATTTGATCCATCCGTTCGCAAGGAATCAGACAGTAATAAATGTTTTGTGTAGGAAACAAGACTTTCAAATATAAAAGTATGGAGCATTATGAATATATATTCAGAAAGCAAAAATTATTATTTTTCAAAAAGCTTCAAACGGTAAACAAAAAAGTCCATAGCTATTCTCGAGAGAAAAAGCGTGGGTGAATCCAGATGGATTATATCTATTATATATAGTCACCAAAGTTGTGAAACGTTCAATTTTAACACTTTAAATAATTAATTTTTTATATATATTAAAAATACTAAGATTCACTCACTAAAAGTATTTTAGAGACTATATAGTGTATTGAAGCTATGAATTAACATCCAAACTCCTTAAACTCTTTTGATGAATACGAAATCTCACCTATACGTTATAATTAACAGTTGAACTATTAAATTTTGCTCATATAAAATTCTAATATTATAAATATATATGTGTATATACACCTTGTATAATATACCTTGTTTTTTACTGGTTAGGTGAATTGTTGTGGTGTGGGGCTTAACTAAAGATCGAATCCTTATCATGGTCTATTCGACTTGATTTGTAGGTTAAAATTATTTCTACTCTTCTAGTCAAGACCAATGAAAAAATTAGTCTATTATAACCTTTAGTTTAATAAATTTTTTCTGGTATTAAATAAAAATATTATTTGCGATTTTTTATCAATATTGTTTGTTAAATTTATTTCATTCTCGTGTATTTGGTAAATGTTTCAAACAGTAGATAAATTGAAGTCATATAAAATGTTCACAGACTATAAATACAAAGGTGTAGTTTTTGCATTCGTTCCATCATCACATTATTTGACAACAACCTGGCGATGTTGTTAGATACCAGTCAGTGCCTTCATGCAAAAGGCAGCTTAATTATAGGCTTTAGGTGGCTCTCATGACGTCTTTGGTTTCATGACGCTCTTTAGCAGTGTAGGTATTATGTTTTCATTTCTCACTCGGTTTTGGATTCAAAAACGTCAAACTCCAAAGACTTTTTATAAAAATATTTCAAAATTGTATTATATTTATTATGATAATCCAACGCACTAACTGATAATTGGTTAAAAATTTTGATTATTTATAAATTTATATTTTCCCCAAAAATTCAGACGAATATTTTTCAATTAAAACCATAAAAAGCTATAAAATTTATATTAACATTTATTAACCATCAATTTCAATTAGTTTTCATTTATAGAGACACCAAACCAAACTATATAAGAATTGTAAAAAAATTAACAATTACGTTTTTTATTCATTTTAAATTGCAATCAATTTCATTATAAAATTGAACATAAATACAATCTAAATACATATAGACTAACAACGCTTTTCAGTATATAAACTCTTTCACATACAAAGGGTATTATACTTAGAAATATTTTTAAATAATTGTTTATTGAGCACCTACGATCCACAATTAGTTGAAGTCAATCATAAGAACGTAATATATTTGTAGTATATTTTTCGCAGTTCCATTCCAATTTTCCCAAAATATTTTTAGATATAAAACCACCGGAAAAATTACAGTTTTTTGATAAAATTCCATTACGATTCCAAATCAAAAATAGGAAACGGATGTACGGATGTATATTTAAAAAGAAATATTTCATAATATGTTATAAAATATAAAAAATTTTAAATGCTTAACGATTTCTAAAATATTTGATTAATTATCTCTATATGCAAGAATATTAACGTTTCTATCATATACAGAGATGTAAGAATTATTTTTTTCAAATTGAGCTCACAAAAAAGTATTTCAAAATGTCATTCTTCAGATGATAACGTTAATTTTTGTCAAAATCTCTTGCTCTTGTTATGCAATAACCTATATTTAATAACCTATATTTCATACACACTTGCCATCATTAAATAGTTAACGTCGGATCTTACCGGTGCAGAGTATTTCTCCAACCGTAGCAAAATAACACTTCACCGAAAAAGGTAGGAGTGATTAAGTGCTGCAGTTTTCTAGGTAGATCGGCTATAAGAAAAAAGTTAATTAAACGGTTTAATTATGTTAAAAATCATAATTTAAAAACAGAAATGATGCGAAACTAATTTAAAATGTTAATATTTTATGTATACATTTATTTAAGAAATAAAAAGTTAACATTTTTGTATAGTTTTTCTTCGAAAATTGATTTTATGGTATCACATTGCGTATGAGTAACGTGAAGTGCACCTGATAATTAATTTTTTTTTAAATACTTCTAAAAGGAATATCGCAGTGGAAATATTTATTTTTTTAAAAGAATTTATATATTAATTTGAATCAAAAATAAAAAAAAAATTTGTGTGACATATTCCTTCTTATTTTTTTTACTGAAAAAACGTATGTATGTGTTTGGTGTGGTATGAAGGATAAATAAATTTTTAAAAGTACTTCCAATTGCAATATCGTCCTGAAATTTTTGGATTTTATGTAGAATCTTATTGCTGATCGAAATCAAAAATATTAAATAAGAATATATGTAGTATATTCTTGGAAAATTCATTCAATGGAAATGTAGTACGCATGTGCTTGATGTGTTTTGTGGGAGAAAAAAAATATTAAAAAATTTCAAAAAATAACGGGTTCCTAAAAATTTTTATTTCGTAGTAGAATTTAGAACTGAATCTAAATAAAATATAAAAATAAAAATTTTGCTGTGTTTTGAGAACAATTTCATAAAGGTTCAATCAATAATCTTTGAAACGCTGTAAATTTGAAGTTTCTACCTTTTATAGAACTTGAGATATAGTAATTTAAAAATGTGTCTACTATGCCAATTCTCAAAACCCCATGGGTCCATATCTCCTAGGAAAAACATCACAAAATTTTTTCCCGTGATACAGGTCTTCTTATAATTTGAAAGGAGCTCATAAAAAAACTTGAACCCATATGTTCAATATGCGGTAGAGGATGGACAGAATTCAGTTATCGGCAAAGGTGATGTTAGCATTCTTTAAGAAAATGGATGTATGACGTTAACTGGTCTGTGAATAAATTGTCGTATTTGTGACAATCACTTATTCAATTCACTATAGATAGAAACTGTTGAAGGATACTATAAAATACAAGACTACACACCAAACAGCCTTATTGAATATTTTTTCTTGTTTGATATATTTCTTTTCTGCTTATAGTTAATAAAGCGATATTAAAGAAAAAACATACTTATCATTTTGTAGACAGAAACACATTTAAGAAAGTTAACAACCCCACCCCAATCTATTAATACGTGAGAGAGAAATGAAAATACCAGGTATATGGGGCATTCAGCGGGTGTAGAAGGATGATTTTAATGTGTGAGAAACCACATTGTCATGTAACAAAATTACTTTAACATGTCTTCTGGTAATTTTTTTATCAATGCGTGATTTTAATTAATGATTTGTCGACATAAGCGTTGTGCACTAACGGTTTTGTCGGTCTCAGGAATTACTAATACACAATACCGCTCTGGTCCCACCAAACACAAACCATGGTATTTGAAATATTTAAATGTATACTAATTGTGAGTAATTAATTAGAAGAAAATATGGCAGATTAAATATTGAAGACAAGTTTTTTTTTACAAAACATAAGGCTGTTAGATACCTATACACTTATTAGTCCTAAGCGATACCAGATAGACTGTGCGTAAACTTTGCGTAGATTTTGCAGTAGACATTATAGCAAATTTAAGGAGTGCTTGACACTACCACAGAGATACTAAGCATTTTTTGATTTCTTAAGTCGCGTTTCTTGACCTGAGCTTTGAAGAATAAGAACTTGGATCCACTAAGTTGTAGTTCTAGTACATTTGCAACCTCCCACTACTTCGATCATTACACTATATAAACAGTAAATGCAATAGGTCTGATTTCTGGTGAGTACAACTTTTATACATTCTCGAAATGCACATTGTTCAATAATTGTTAAAAACAAGATATATATATAGAAATTTAACTTCAGTATATATGAATCCTAATAATAATTCGTCATTTTCTCAAAAAAAAACTGATAGACCTAGTTATGAAAGTCATGATGAGATAGGGTACATAGGGAGGCATGTTCTACTCTTCATATTCGATGATTAACATTGTTAGGTTTAAAAAACATTATTATTATTAGTTTTATCAAATTGCTAAACTGTTACTGAAATAAGTTTCAATATTAATAAAAAATTTCAGCGAAAAAATAATATAATAAATTATTTAAAAAATTTGCCTTGTAATTCGTGTATATTTCATATTAGTATTATTAGATTGTAATTTTTCAGATCTTGTTCAAATAAATAAATATAATATAAATAATTAGTTGGATATTATTCAAATTCCTCTTTGTCATCCCTTTCCTCCATTTCATTTAATGGCGATATTTCCAGTTGTCCGTCTTCCGAACTAATTTTTTCATCGTGTATTTCGTCATTTCGAGTAAAAATCTGTACGAAATATTATAACATTCACAATATAAACTATTAATTATGGTACATAATAAAAAATATTTTTATTTATAAGAGGAATTAATTATTTGGACAGTTCATTTTATATTATATATATATATATATATTATACATATATTTTATATATAATATACGTACATATATATATATACACTTGTATACCGTACATTAACGAAATGTATATCCCTGTACGTACTAGATAAATATTTTTAATAAAAATTTTGGAATACCATAATATCACATACAGTTTTTACTTAAATTAGTTAAAATCTTTAAAATCACCTATCCTTTTGTAAAATGAAATTTATTGATTTTATAGTACCTGATATACAGACAGTACCTGAATATTTTCGGTAATGGAGTATTCACTTGCATTCAAATTTTCTAGTTCTTTTTTTGTATTTTTGGCCAAATGCATTTCGTAGCTCTTTTGAATCTATATTTTGATTTTGATGTTTTGTTTGATAAATTATAATAATAATAAATAATAATAACGGTTACGCATTTATACCTCTTGTTCAATGTGGTCCAATATTTCTAACTGACGGTCTTCCGAATTATTTGGTTCCCCTTGCTTTTCGGCTTGACAGGAGAAAGTCTGATTCTTGTATACCAAATTATCAAAATTAATTATTAATTTTAAGTGAAAATATTAAAATTATGTTAAAAATTTGATTTACAAAAAATTTATTCGATGTAGAGAAATGTACCTCAATTTTCTCATAACTGTGACTATCGTCCGTTTCTAATGATTGCTCAACTCTCTTTCCTTCATTTAAGCGGGTTTCCTATAAATCAATAATCACTTTTCTTGGAACATTAAAATTATGTCTGAAATTAGTTTACCTCTTCTTCTTTATTCATGAATTCTCTTAAACTCCTATCAAAGCTATCTGCACTTAAGCGTTCCTTCCTCCGTGTTTCATCGCGAGCAGACATATACAAAAAAGAAGACTAATAAAATATATTTATTATGTTAAAATCGAAAATAATAGAATTATTTTTATTTCGTGATTCAATGAAGTGAAATTAGAAAGGCATAGAGTTCGACGACATAAGAGAATATTTTATTGTATACGAAAAATAATGATGTAAAATGGAAACTTCAGTTAAAATGTGCAGAAGTTTATATACTTTATAAAAATGTTGAATATATGGCACTTATGAACCTATTTTATTTATTGAATATTGTAAACTCAATATACTGCATTATAATAATTGAAATAATATATTATTGCTGATTGAAAATTTTCCATTTAAATTCTCTCAACGAATAATTTCAGCTCTCATAATTTTCCCCCAGAAAACATACTCAACGCAGCCTGTAGAGTCAAAATAATTAAACACATCGTATGTGCCTGCCAAGGAGCGGTCGGACCAACTATAAAACATTGGTGATCTGAAAAAATGCTATAACCCTTGCAGTATTCATGCCATGAGTGTAATATGGAGTTGAGGTCGACCTTAACTTTTTGTCAGAAATCCATAACGGTTTTAAGAGGGGAACATAAGCCGAAAAATCCATTGAATGTAATATCAGCAAATACATTTATATTACCCATTTCTATAATCTGGAATAAATAAATTTCAAGAATTTCTTCCCATTCAGTGAAAAGTTCTGAGCTGGGTATAATGATGGTCTAGGTATTATCACACTAATAACGTCGCCACCTTAATATATCTGAAAGTGACAAGTGGATATATGTAGATCACTATGCACTTTGATTTTCATGCGAATTTAGGGACTAAAATAACTACAAAAAATTGCGTTTTTTAACCTGAATGCTAAAGTTTAAGTTTTGGAATGTGCTCTAGTTGGTTATCCTAAGCAAGTCAGGTCGCCGGTGACCTTACTGAAAATTCAAATGATTTTCAACATTTTTTGTGCTGCATTTCGGTGGGGCCATCCTACAGATACATAGGAATAGTTAAAGTCGTTTTTTTGCCGCTAACTAAGTTATCAGTTATTAAGATATCTGATCCTAATATATAATAACCAGTTATTAATAAATCCAAATGAATATTAATATTTATTATTGTTTGATAAAAACAAAGTCAATTGATTATTTAAATATACCTCAAATTCGTTTTTATTATATTTTGCAGTTGCTAAAAGTTCTTTCATCTTTTTTTGAGCTCTAATATACCTTCTATGTCTTATCTTGATTGGAAGACTCAAGTTAATAGTATATATAGTAAATATGAAATCAAATTTTTTCCATCAATTTTACCTTTTCCTCTTCAACCATTAACTCTCTTATGCCAAGATCCAACTGCTCCGAAAATTCTTTTGCGTCCATTGGCTAAAATTTTACAGAATAAGAGAACATAAGAATACAAGAGAATATGAAGATATAAGTTTTTAATATTGCATTGCTCTGCTATAAATCACTTGTAGCACGTCTTAGTCATTCTTTGCAAATTGGTTAGTGTGAACAGAGTTAACAAAGAGTCTCAAAACGCTACTGTTTCTAGATATGAACATGTTTATAGATCTACTCAGAAATCATACAGACGTGCACATATCCATATATTATGCAGAAGCATGAACTTTGCAGTTAAAAAGGATTAGGTTCATTATTGTTTATATTTTAATTATTAATATAAAAGCAAAATTTGATCAAATTTGCAAAAACCTATCAAATTGAATGTCCATGTGTATCATTAAATTTATATATGTAGTAAAACCCTATAACTACCTTCTTGTTTTCTTCTTCCTTTCCAACATTTTTACCTAAATCTCTTTCGTAACTCTTTTTAAAGATATTTTATTTGGTTAAAAGAAAAAAATAATAATAAATAATAAATGGGAATATAATTATACCTTTTCTTCAATAAGTGCTAATATTTCTAAATCACGCTCTCTCGAATTTATTGATTCCCTCTTTTCATTGCTCTGGGAACGTGAAAAGAATTATCAAAATTAATTATTGATTTTAAGTGAAAATATTAAAATTATATTAAAAATTAATTATCAGAAAGTAACACAGAAAAATTATTCAATGAAAGAAATGTACCTCGGTTTTCTCATAACTGTGACTATCATCCGTTTCTAACGATTGCTCTTCTATCTTTCCTTCATTTATGAGGTTTTCCTATAAATCAATAATTACTTCTGTTGGAATATTTAAATTTTGTCTGAAATAAGTCTACCTCTTCTTCTTTATTCATGAATTCTCTTAAACTCCTATCAAAGCTATCTGCACTTAAGCGTTCCTTCCTCCGTGTTTCATCGCGAGCAGACATATACAAAAAAGAAGACTAATAGAAATTATTTATAACTTTATGAACAGAATTTTTTAAAATGTTTTAACAAAGTTGATTGAACAAAACTTTTATTGATCAAATTACTCATATTTTGTTATTATATTAGAAAAAATTTGGAGAAATAAAAGTTTCCAGATTTCCTTTGAATCCCCTGAATTGGCTCGAGTGATGAAGAATTTATCGTTTTATTTTTAACATTGTTTATGAAATACCATATTTCGTTAAAAATGTGAATACAGTCTATTAAATAGTATCTAAACCCTGAGGTTACAACCCTAATAATCACAATTCTCATAAAGTTCCAAGAGGTGAAACTTAATTCATCCTACTGAACACTATAGATGTTGCCGATTAGCAACTGATAAACTGTTAATAATATCGGTTATTGCGCTGGTGATGATTTTCAAACTAAAACAGCATTCTATTCGTACTTGTCCATCTATATTGACTTATATAAAGTTATATATAGTTAATCTAATATTGAAAGGACTACAAATAAAACATGAAATAGATTTCTTGTCAGGTTTTATTCAAGCACGAATTTGAAATTCTGAATTTTTGGAAATAGTGTTGCATGTGTTACTTCTTCACATTTAGCAAGACTTTTTGAACTGGGAAAAACATTAGTCGGATAATATCTGTGTTATATTTTCTATGGTTCAAGCCACAATATAACCAAAAAAGAGTTTCCTGAATGATTGGACTGAAAACTACACAAGTTGTAGTAGACACTGCTAATGCCGTCACATTAATGTAACTGTATTGACAAATAAATCTAGACTGCTGGATGTTTCGATTTCCATGAAAAGTCAAATTTCGAATAGTTATATAAAGACCAATACCACTGTGTGTAACGTTCGGGGGGCGCTATATATATGTGCTAAAATTTAGCACTAGTACTATGGCTATGTGGAGAGTGATTCAAGATTGCAATAAAATTCAATACAGTCAAACTAAACACGATGCCACAAATAATGACTGAGAGACAGCGTTCCATGATTTATATTGATCATCCATTAAGAACTTTAAATTGTTTTAAAACCTCTGAAGATGCAGAAATAGTTTAAGTAGCTTTTATTGCCCGTGATAAAGCAATCACAATAAACTATAACTGAATATTAAATTAACCGAATGAGAAACACCAAATTTTTTCTATTAATTTAAATAAATTAATGGGAAAAATAAATAAAGTATATTAATGAAATAAATTTACCTCAAATTCTTTTTTATTATATTTTGTAGTTGCTAAAAGTTCTTTCATCTTTTTTTGAGCTCTAATATACCTTCTTTGTCTTATCTTGATTGGAAGACTCAAGTTAATAGTATATGTAGTAAATATTAAATCAAATATTTTTCATCAATTTTACCTTTTCCTCTTCAGCCATCAACTCTCTTATGCCAAGATCCAACTGCTCCGAAAATTCTTTTGCGTCCATTAGCTAAAATTTTACGGAATAAAAGAGTATAATATCTAACAAAATAGTTTATAATTAGTCTGAAGATGTGAATTTTTAATATAACTTTGCTATAACTTGCATGATTTTGCAGTTAAGAAGGATTAGGATCATTATTGTTTAAATTTATTATTATTAATATAAAAGAAAAATTTAATCGATTTGCAAAAACCTATCACATTGCCTGTCCTTGTGTATCATTAAATTTATGTATGTAGTAAAAAGCTATAACTACCTTCATATTTTCTTCTTCTTTCTCAACATTATGACCCAAATCTCTTTCGTAACTCTTTTCAAAGATATTTTATTTGGTTAATAGGAAATAATAATAGTAACACAGAAGAATTATTCGATGAAAAAATGTACCTCGGTTTTCTCATAACTGTGACTATCATCCGTTTCTAACGATTGCTCTTCTCTCTTTCCTTCATTTAAGAGGTTTTCCTACAAATCAATAATTACTTCTGTTGGAATACTTAAATTTTGTCTGAAATAAGTCTACCTCTTCTTCTTTATTCATGAATTCTCTTAAACTCCTATCAAAGCTATCTGCACTTAAGCGTTCCTTCCTCCGTGTTTCATCGCGAGCAGACATATACAAAAAAGAAGACTAATAAAAATTATTTATTATTATGTAAATGGAAATAATATAATTATTTTTATTTCGTCATTCTATGAGGTGAAATTAGATGAGAAGTAATAATATAAAATGGAAACTTTAGTTAAAATGTACAGAAATTTATATACTCTATAAGAATGTTCAATCTATGACACTTATGAACCTATTTTATTAATTGAATATTATGAACTCATTATATTCACTTCATTATAATAATTAAAATAATATATTATTGCTGAATGAACATTTTCCATTTAAATTCTCTCAACGAATAATTTTAACTCTCATATATCTCCTCCAGAAAATACAGTGGGGTCACCCTACAGATACATAGGAGTAGTTAAAGTCGTTTTTTTGCCGCTAACTAAGTTATCAGTTATTAAGATAGCGGATCATAATATATAATAACTAGTTATTAATAAACCCATATGAGTATATGTATTAATTATTGTTTGATAAAAACAAAGACATTTAATTATTTAAATATACCTCAAATTCTTTTTTATTATATTTTGCAGTTGCAAAAAGTTCTGTCATCTCTTTTTGTGCTCTAATACACCTTCTTTGTCTTATCTTGATTGGAAGACTCAAGTTAATAATATATTTAGTAAATATTAAAACATGTTTTTTTAGTGATTTTACCTTTTCCTCTTCAGCCATTAACTCTCTTACGCCAAGATCCAACTGCTCCGTAAATTCTTCTGCGTCCATTGGCTAAAATTTTTCAGAATAAGAGAATATAATATCTATCAAAATAGTTTATAATTAATCTGAAGATATGAGTTTTTAAAATAACTTTGCTATAAATCACTTTCTAGATATGAACATATTTATAGCTCTTTTTAGAAATTACACAGAAGTGCACATATCCATATATGTTATAATGCAGAAGCATCTATTGCATGGTAGAGATCCATCTTAAAAATGTTGCGCATGCAAATTGGTAGATGTCTGTAAAAGTTATGTTGCCCCGTGTCGATCAAAGAAGGTCGTATTATAATTATAAAAGTAAAGGAAACTGGTTTTTTGATTGGCTTACTTATAAGGACCTAGTTGTTTGACCTGATATATTATATTACTGCATTTACTGAATTATATGTTATTGTGGTGGCCAGTAAAATAAATAAATGCAATCATTTATAAAATAAAGAAATTTACGTCACAATCTTAATTTAGAAATACGGTCTTAATTATTTTCTGAATGTTAACAACACTGTACTGCCAAACTTAAGCCCTTATTATATTAATATCAGCTGTCCTGCCAATTTTTGGTTAGAGGTTTTGACAACATATTCATGAATCTAAAATATTTTCTATGCCTGAATCTAAAATTACTATTTGAATAAAAGAATTTCGTGAGAATTCAGGTCGTAGAATAAGATTGTAGAATGATTTTAAGGCTACTCAGAAATCAGCTAATGAAAAATGTAAAGAGGGCTATGCCTGTGGAAATTAATCATTTCTTTGGTCGATTTATAAGTTTTGATATATTGCTTTTAATAAATCCAAATTCTTTGTACAATAAATGCACGTTTCGAAGTTGAAAAAGACTAAAGACTTACTAAAATAATACCAATTGTTTTCTATTTATTTTTCTAATAAAATACGTCTTATTAGTTCAGATGAGCAAAGTAAATTGATAAAATAAATATACCTCAAATTTTTTTTTGTTATATTTTTCAAAATCCAATTTTTCGTCTTTCTTTTTTTGTGCTTCTAAATATCTCCTTTCTCTCATCTAGCTTGAAAAGACAATTTAATACTATATACATTGTAAGTATTTTTAATAATTTTACCTTTTCTTCCTCAGCTAATAATTCTTTTATGCCAAGATTCAATTGCTTCGAAAACTTTTTTGCGTCCATTAGTACCATATCTTGGGCAGTTGGCTATAATATAACAGTTTAAGTGAAAGTAATATTTATCGTTATAAGTTTTGTTATTAACTTCTAATATAAAGTCTAGGTATAGGTGCTTGAAGATGATTTACAGTCAAAGCAAAAACACAACTCCCTAATTTAAATGCTTAGAGCTTTGCTTATATTAAATTTGAATCATCCTTTAGTCATTGATTGTTATAAAATAATCTAATAAAGAACTTAAGGGGTACTCAATATTGTTGGTTATATTATTTTTTTAATATTATTTCTAATATGTTTTCTTTTACATAAAACCTTTTAAGTAAAACTAAGATAAAAATATATATATAATAAATACATATAATATATAGATGAGATTATTATTGTGATAAATAACCTTCCCATATATATAATTGATGTAATTTCATTAATTGGCTTAAACTGGTACCAATGCCACTACATTTATAACTCTTCTCTTTTTTGTTCCTTTCTCTTTTCCCGTTTTTTTTAATTAAAATTGTATTATATAATATATGCAAATTGAAAATATAAAATATAAAAGTGTTTATTGCAAATGGAGTAAACTGACATATATCCATGTACAAAGTCGTCTAAGAATGCATCGCCAGTTTGAATGTAATATATTTGTTCAGTTTAAGGTAAAGTAAGATTGTTATATTCTTAATTTTACTTTCTCGCCGATACTAGAAATACTTAGCCAAATGTACTATATAATTTAGGGTTTGTGTCAAATCTACTTGGGGTCTTTTATTTTACTCAAGTAATAAAGTTTGTTCAGGTTTTGCTAATCAATCGTTACAGTCAAAGCGTCACCGTAAAAACACGTTAAAAACCTTTTCTATATAATCTATTTTGAGAATAAAATACATCATTTATTTTTACTATTAAAGCTTGTGCTTGTATAAAGAAAGAAATATATATTTTAAAAGTTCATGCGATTCCGGTTTTTCAGACACATTCATTTCACAACAAATTTTCGTAGACCCAGTTTATTTAAGCACATTTTTCTACTATACTTTATGCCGATATAACATAGGTAATTTCTCGAAATATTCAAGTATAGAATTATAAATTTTTTATATGCGTCATCTAACGACGCATATACAATTTTTGCACTGATTTCATAAACGTTTGATAAATCCAAATGGGTGTCTCTCTGATGGTTTCCATTTTATATATGATGTAGTGGAATAAATTGTTAATAAAACCCGCTGTGAAATGGATATGCACGAGAAACCGAAAAGGTGCCTAAATTTTTTTACATTACCTGATTGTATTCCGGTTCTATTAATTGCTCAGTCTTAAAATAAAAATTGTGTTAAAAATTATCATCAAATTATTATTATTATAATAATTTTTTATTTAATCATATATGTAATAAAATAATTTGAAGCTTACCAGACAGCATTCTGGATTTAAATATTGTTTAATCTGGAAAAAACTATATGATGCAGTAAATATTTAAAAAAATAACGTGTACATATACTGTAGAATGTTACCGAAATATTTTAGAACCTTACCTTAGAAGAAGTGGGTTTTCGGCCTGTCTTGATCTAGAAATAAGATCATTCAAGTATCAAAATTTGTTCCAATTATCAATTTTTATTTATTTTATTTTTAATTAATTTCTGTTCTCATATTATATTATATACGGGGGCTGTTTGATGATTCCGTGATAACATTTTCAAACTAATTTTGAATATTTTTGTTAAATTTTTTTTTATAATCTGGTAATATTCTAAAACTAATTCAGTCCGGTATGTACCATAAATTTAATGATCACAGTATCAACATTTTGAAGCTCATAGTTGAAAAAGCTGTCTACATTAGTTTTAACTAATTTCTGTAAATTTTCATCATTAAAAAAAATGGAATACTGACTAAGGTTTTTATTATGAAATAACTGATCTTGTTTTAATTTCCGATCACATTAATGAGAGCATAGTTCAATGATTACAGTTCTAACGAAACGATTCTTCCAAAAATTACTATAATACTGTCTTACTATATACTGTCGTTGTACATAAGTAACTCATTGATATAGTAAATAACTAAAAGTACCTTATTGCTTTCGGGAATAGAATATCCACTTGCCCCTAAATTTTCCTGTTCAACTTCTGCATTTTTAACTAAATCATCTTCGTTATACTTTTGAAAAAATATTTATTTAATAATAAGTCATAGTAACATATAATAATAAAAGCTTTATACCTCTTCTTTAATGAGCGCTAATTTTTTCAACAAACGCTTTTTAGAACTTATTCGTCTCTTGTTTCCATTGGCCTGGCAAGATAAAGTCTGATTATTATATAAGAAAACAAAATTTTTATTGAAATTATTTTCATATGTATTAGTTTTCAAATGCAAAATATTAAATTCATTTTTTTGAAAAATTTGTTTGCAATAAAACTGATATCCCTTAAACAATTTAGATGTTTTTGAGAGCAATATTGTCCCGTATCGATCACTATTTTTTGTAATTCGTATTATAATTGAAAAATTAACTGTAATGATTCATTTTGATGAAAAATTATATGGGATCATATACCTTATTATTCGAGCTTTCAACAAAATAGACAGAAAAATTATTTGTCGAAAGAAATGTACCTCAAATTCCTTAAAACTGTGACTATCGTCCATTTCCAATACACGTTGTTCACATTTTTCTCGTCTTAAGCGCCTTTCCTATAAATAAATAATTAGTACTATCAATATTAGAGCATGTTAATTTTTATATTATTGTACCTCCTCTTCTTTTTCCATGAATTCTCTCAAATAACGATCGAATCTATCTGCACTCTCTCTCTCTCTTTTCCGGATTTCATTGTGATAATACGAATTCCAAAAAGGTGTCTAACAAGAATGTTATATTATTTTATGATCGAATATTTTTAAGTATTTAATTAAGTTAATAGTTTCATTGATTAAATCGGAATCATATTGCTTTATTCAGCGAGTATAAGGAGGACATTCAGATTTTGAAAAGCTTTCCATACAGCTAAATAAGGTACCTAAAACCTGTATCTGTTCAAACAAATTGCTTGAATATTGTTATTGTTAACAACTTGAACATTTCACGAAATAAATAGTATTTGAATGCAGAAAGCATTGGTCACACATTCTTGGTGCGTTCCCGATTTGAGAAAGAATAGTCCCTCATAATCACATTTACAACACACTAAATTTGAGTGATAACGTTAAGTATTAGAGTTGGAAGTTACTAATCAATTTCATACTGGTCTCCTCCAATATCATTCTCATTGACCTCTCTAAACTCTGCATCAATCTGGAAATGATTCATTGTGAAATTGATGTAAGTGCACTAAACAGCCAAACATTCTGTGATCTCTACTGTTCTTATGGCCAAACACTTAAATAAAAGTACTGTCAGTAAATCGATTTAGCTTGTCGTTTTCTAATAATTGTACGATTCTACCAGACTGTTAAATAACTGCATATAACCTCCTTTTCACATGGCCTGGAGATAGAGCTAATTATATATAATTCTTCATTGCCGACAGTAGAAATTTTGTGAAATAGTCCCATGAAAACCGCATCCTTTGAAAGAACTAGGCATAAATAAACGGATCGCTATTAAAGGTTTCTCAAAATTATTATTTCTATTTCTAAATATTATTATTTCTATTTCTAAATAGAGTAAAAGCTCTCAAAAATGTTCACTCTTCTCGTAAACATAGGTATTAAGATTTACAATGCAAGCTTAAAAGAGCAACAAAATCTGATGACGAGACTTCACAGATTTCTAAGTAAATTTTAAAAATCTTTCAGATTGACCTATCCTTGTATACGATTATATTTATTGTTAATAAGGCAAATGTACCTCATGGTTTACAGGAATAGAATACCCACTCGCTTCCAAACTTTCTACCTCATGGTTTACAGGAATAGAATACCCACTTGCTCCCAAACTTTCTTGCTCCTTTTCTGCATGTTTAGCTAAATCCCTCTCATAACGCTTTTAAGAATAATATTATTTGATTAATAACAGATAATAATAATATTTAATAATATTAATAATAGTTTAATACCTCTTCTTGAATGAGTGCTAATATTTCCAACTCTCGCTCTTCCGAATTAATACGTTCCCTCTTTTCATTGCCCTGACAAGATGAAGTCTGACTCATTTGTGAAGAAAAAAATTGTTTGAATTATTTTATGTTATTCATAATATATATATAAATATATATATAAATATATATATAAATATATATATAAATATATATATAAATTAATATTCATATAAATGCAAAATATTGAAATTATTATATTAAGAATTTGTTTGAAAAAATTTGTTAGGGATATGTGGTCAAGAAGTATTTAAACAACCTTAGCTAATTTTACTGACAAATGTGACCCTGAATTTTCAGATTTTTTCAAAAGTGTCTATAACAGCATAAATTTTCTGTTTTGTAATTTTTAAAAACTTTGGTGTTCTTTATTATCTATTCTTACTTTATCAATTAGTTAATAAAATTGCACTCATAAATCTGGCTACTTTATATAATGACTTCAAACATTTCCTTATCAAAGTTGATTAGCAATTTTTTCCGACAACTTTTTGAACTATTAACTTTTAGATGTGACATGTATAACGACTTTTCATCAAAGTCGTTACCCCACACCGATATTTTTGTTGGATTCTATACTCCATGTAATAATACATACGTGTGAGCTGCTTGCATTGTTTATTTATATAGGACTATTCCGGTAAACGATAGTATTTATATTTTTAATCATTTACATAACTCAAGTCAGCTTTGAACATAATAAGAATCCATTATATTTTATTGTTTCAAATATAAAGTTGAAAAAATTCTGGAACATCTGGAAGTGCGAAACAAGATATAACATACCTTACTTTCATTATTGTAAAGTTTATATAACTGAAAGTCATTTTTAATATTGATTTAGCCTTTGAAACCCATCAATAAACTGAGAATCTCTATTTTTACAAAGATTGATTAAACTGTGATCTTTCATTTATAATTTATTCGCTATGTATTATAAATGGAAAGTAAAGACAATATGTTATTAAAGATATAATATTTATACCTGAATTTTCTTATAACTCTGGTTTTCCGCCTTTTGTAAAGTCGGTTGTTCCCTTTCCTCTTGTTTTATACGCTTTTCCTTAAAAAAAATTGTCATTTGGGTGAATGGTGCTTTTATATATTGTTATACCTCCTCTTCTCTTTCCATTAATTCTTTCAAGTTTTGGTGAAACCTATCTTTACTTTCTTTTATTTGTCTTTGTTCTAAAGTTAACAAACTCTCGAAAGAGGCCTAATAACAGGAAATCAACATTTCTTTAAAAGATATATTTATGTATCTACTAAAGTTAATAGTTAATTAGAATCTCAGTTTTCTAGATGAAAAACGAAAGACCAAATTGGATCTCTTCAAAGTGCTTTTGATCCATGACGAGATTTTGCTATTTTATTATTATCAGAAAGACATAATAACAATACAACCTTAATAGTCCATCAAAATTAAAATTGAAACTTTATAACTTTATATGAAACTTTATAGATCGATTGATTTTTTGCAGATCTAAAGTGGATCTCTAACCTGTATGCAAAATAACTTAGAGTATTTGCATTGTTTAATAATACATATCTCTAATGAATGATGGAACATATGGATTTTATTGGATACTGGCTACCATGGCTTGGTAACAAAAATTTTTTGTAAAATTTTGCTATAAGATATAAACAATCCGTGGGAAATTTCATTTTAATACTAACTGAAAAAAGACTCAGTTTCAGTTTTTCAATAACATTTAGTTTCAAGTTAAAACTCGATGAAAATGCTAAAACGTTTTGTAGAAAGTAAAATAATGACATATAACATAGTGATTTATATATTACTAGAAAGAAAAGACACCCATGCGCAGGGTTTTTAAAACAGAATAATTGGTATTTTCAACTAGTTTTGAACCCACATAAAGAGAACTTAAAAAAGTAGGTATGTAAACGTAAATCCTATTGGAAACTGTTACTTGCATCGGCAAGGAAGATCCTTTATTAATGAGCTGTCAACTTTTTATAACATTTGAATGTGTAGAATTAGAGGTACTGCGTTTACCAGTGACAATTGTTCAAGATATTGGTATAATTATATTATTTTTTATAATAAAATTTATATGTAGATGCTTTTATTGATAATTACTTATTAGTCGAGATAGTAAATAACTGGAGAAAATCTTTGTTACCTGAAATTCTTGTTCATTTGAATTATCAAGTTTCTTTTTCACCTTCTTTTTCAGTACTTTCCTTTGATTTGTCGTCTTTCACAAATGAAGATGTTTATAGCTTATATATATTTTTTTCAAAACATATCTCTACAACTTACTTACCTTTACATATTCATTTTCTGATTCGTCTTCGTCAAAAATCTCTTGATTCTCCGAAGAAGTCTGTATATATGAAGTAAAGAACAATTTAAGTTCCTATAAGTCAAATTAGAACACCCAAGATAAAAAAAAACTCATTTTATATCATGGGTGGGCATAAATGAACAATTATGATTTTTTTGTTGAATTTTTTTATGTATTGAGAAGGGGCCATTATTCATCTAAAATGTAACAAAGCTGCAAAAGTTATTGGCATACCAGCAGTGCTGATTAAACACGGAGGAGTGAAATTACACGAGGCAATCCGCGAACTCATTATATACATATGGAACCATAAATTAATATCAGAATACTGGGAAAGATCGGTGTAAGACATAATATGCTCCATACATAAAAAGAAAGATTTTACAGCGGACAGAATTTGTAGGGCTATAATATCGTTGTGTATATCTTATAAATTATTTTCCTCTATCCTACAAAAGTAGACATCTCCACACGTTAAAAACATTATTGATCAATTGAAATGGGGTTTCATATTTGACTTATTGGCTGTTTGGTATCTATGCTAAACAACGCCTTCAGTGGATTACAACAAACGGATGATCGATGCTGTTTCTCTTTTAACCTGACGTTGGAAAAAGCAATTCGTGACTCTGATAATTTAACAAGAGTAACTTTCATCACTTATTTTAATCAGATATTAGCATATGAAGATGATATTGACATCTTTAGACTCTTATATGTATGAAAAAAATATGTGTTTCTTTTTATTTTCAAAAACAAAAAAAGGAAAAAGGCTTCTAATCAAATAATCACATGAATTCAAAACAATGGGGCCCCATCTTGGCCTATCAGTTAACACCTATTTTATGTATCGTCAATCTATTTTGTGTTTAAATCTATTTAAAGCATAAAATTTTCATCTTCAATATTTTTTTTAAATTTATGTAGATATATCAGGGGAGAGTATGTTTTTTGGTAAGTATTATAATAGATGATAAAAACACATTTAAAAAATGGTAGATCTATTTTAAAAGGGAAAAAAAAATCATATAAATACCTCCGATGATTCAAAATCCAGGTCGCCTTCGGACTAAGAATCAAAGAAAAATTTGTTAAAATTTGTGTTTACTGTATTGTTTAATATGTAGATAATATATGTATATATGTAAATAATTATATAATTTTTTATGTTTCATTATAAATTAAACTTTTTTTTTGTAAGATAGTAGTGAAAAAGAAACCTGTTAGGTTCCGCAGGGTACTAGGTCTCGACATGTACTAGGGAAAAAAAAGCTTATTTCTCTGTAATCTGGTTTATAGTATACTATTTATTATAACATTATGCACTCTATATATAAAATAGATATAAAAAATAAAGTAAAAAGTAAAGTATAAAATAGAAGTATAGAAATAGAGTATAAAATGGATTTTGATAAATTTTAATGAAACTGTAATGAGACATGGTCACAGCTGAGTTTTATTACTTACCATTCCAGTTGCTTATTCTTCTGAGGAATAAAAGAATTTATTAACTTATGCCCTCATTCAATATATATATATGGGTATATATTGTATACTAAGCATCATGCCTCATTCAATTTATAGTTATAGTAATTATATAAGTATAAGCAATAATGCAAAAAAAAATTATGAGTACACTTATATTACGTACCTCGTACATTTTCTTCTGTATAATATACTTTATACTGTATTCCACAAAGATTTGATATTATCACTTAAATTGCTTTACAGCCTTCACGGTCTCAAAAAAATTGTAACTTGTTATCTCTAAAATATATTATATATAGAAAAAAAAGAATTTAAAAATTTAAACTTAAATTAAAATCTAAAATTTTTGACGGAAAAAATAAAAAGTTTTTTCTATTTCCCCTTAAACTAAGTAAAGAAATATTTTCTTATTAAAATTAATATTTGTGCAAATATGCAAAAAAAAAGTGCCAACCACATTTCTAAAGGTGTTCTTCACACACACATCGGTATATTGCGCCAATGAACACCCCATTGCAACTTCGAGGAATTACACTTCTGCTGATCTTTAGGTCACAGCAACTGTTTCGAAAATGCAAATCCACATTGAATGATTGGTGATGAAAAGTAGATCAGATTCACTTACGACAACGTTATGTGAACCACGAAAATGGTCGTGGTCGAATCACAATAAGACGGCTGAAACGATGACCAAGCCAGGGTTGACGGCCAGGAAAGTCCTCCTCTACGGCAAAACTTCTAACTGGAACTGTACTGTCCATCTGAACAATTGCACCGTCTGAAGAAAGCAATTGCCTTCTTCTTCTGTATGAAAGCAATTGTGTTCCATCAGGATAATGCTAGACCACACACATCGATAATGACTCGCCAAAAGCTCCGGGAGCTTAGTTGATAAGTTTTTATACACCCAGCTTATAGTCTAGACCTGGCACCAATCTGTTTTGATTACCATCTGTTTTTATACATGCCGAACGATGGATGATTCTTCCGGTTAAAAATTTGCTTTAACAGAGGCTAGTGATTATCGACTATTTCAATTTTATTCAAATAGGAACGAGGCCTTTTATGAGAGAAACATAATGAAATTACTTTCGAAATGACCACAAGCTATCGAAAAACAGTGCATGTATGTGCTAAATCGGATCATTCTAACTATGGTAAATAAGCCTTCAATTTCATACAAAAATAATGTAGTATTTTTTTTACTTTCTATTACACCTATTATTATATATTATTTATTATTAAATTTTATTATTCATTTTTATTATTTATTACTATTATTATTTATTATTTCACAGAAGCCATGCTAAAACTAAAAATTCTTTCAGTTTGGCAGAATAAATGTAGTTTTGCCTTGCAAAACTCACATATTCATGTATGTTATTCAAAAAATTTTAATAATTTCTTTTACATTTAATTTGGATAATCATTGATATAATTAAATTTAATTAAATTTGATAGTCATTTTGACATTTTCTAAAGTTCACTATAACATTAGCGTAACAAAGCAATTCATTTAATCGAAATGTTTGGTAAATTTTAATTTAATTCCAGCACTTTTATTTAACCACAATAGGTGCTATAAAAGGGAATTGTGTGGACCGCCAATAGAGGTCATAAATAATCATCGTCCTGTTGTGTCATTCACCGGCGGCTGGAGAGTGCGGTGTACACCGGCACCTATAATTCCCTAAAATGAATGAATAGTTTTGATTTATAATATATATGAATAGTCGAAAAAGTTGTCGTCTAAAATGGAACTACTAATACTTTTCTCATGAACATATATATATATACGAATACAAGTACGAGTACGAGTACATGTGTAATCTGTGGCGGGGGATGTGCAATATATGGTCGAGGTATCCCCATGTTTATATACGTACACTTGTATGCGGCACTAATTTGCCTCACATACAGGCTTTGCAATGTAAATTTGCTGCAAAATTATGCGCAAACCAATGGCAGGTTTTGATATATGGAACTGTCCTGCTGTATTGTGATTTAGTGTAAAGGATAAGGTGTTAAAAACACAGACAAAACGTATTTGCAGTGGCATTATACCTAAAATTCAATACCGGCTCGAATGCTTACCCATACATGAGAGCATATTTTCCGACTAGCACTGAGTGGGGTATGTACATATTTATTGTAGCCATTTGTGTTTGTATATGTGTATACACGTGTGTATATTTTCTAGTATAAATTTATGTTGAAATGATCATTGTAAAGTGTATCTATGCAGTTTGGATGTAGGTAGAGACTAGTGCAGCTATGATTGTGTGAAGATGATGCTTGTGCGTTCCAGAGGAAGTGATTAATGTGTCGCCGAGGTGGATGACAGCGGTTGTTTGATTTTAAATTGGCGATTAAACAAAATTGGCAGGCAAAGTATTATATTGGAAAGCAATTAAATTTGTCTTTGAACTGGATTAATATGACATTCGGCATGTTTAATTTGGTTTCTCTTTTATTTTCTCATATAATACGGGCATAAACATGGACTCGCTTACTATTGACCATTTGACACATCATTTTGTTAACTGTAAAGTGGCTTAATATAATAGCCTGTTACATACAAAACCGATTTAAAAATGTTTTATCACAACACTTGCTCACCCAATAGCAATTCCTAGAATTTATATATTTCGTCGGACATTAAAAAGCGTTTCAAAGTCGCCTTCTCTATGTGCTAAGTATTATGTAATCGCATTACCATGACAATAAAATGTAGCACTCTAAGAACGTAACAGAAACATAAAATATGACCAAAACTGGGATGTACAAAAAACAAAAAAAAAAATAAATGAAAAATAAAAAAACAAGGAAGAAGGAGCGAAAACAAAAACTTAATCTAATGCAAATCCTCAAAACAATTTACATATTTTTCAAATCGTATAAGACCAAAAAACATGTCGGCAGATGCTCCTCGGTACTGTAAGTGTGAAAAACTATTTTATTGCTGCCACAGTTAAAACCGAAACCGGGGAATCGTTAAGGCCGTTGCGCCCGCAAGTATGCAGCAAAAAAAATTGTCTCACAGAAAAAACAGTTTCAGTGTCAGATTTTGGTCTTTGTCGGCGGCTACGGCCTGGACACACAAATTTATGTACTTTAGGTTTCAGTTCAATGTGCTTGAATAATACTAAAAGTACATAAAAGTTTGATTTTTGTCAAGTGCGACTTTTGTGCACTTAACAATGTTCCAAAATCAATGAAAACGATGAGATATGTTGTATTGAAACTATGATTTATTAAAATAAATATAATTTAAAAAGCGCAATTTTTGCATTTTGTATTTTTAAGAAATTTGCTTGACAAAACCAAAATCATTATTAAAAACTATCACTCTTCTCTCAAACAAATGCGATGTGTTCACATGAGAAATAATGGTTGTCTATTTTAAATTCTTTTACTAAAAGTAATCTGACTTTGGTTCTCCGTACATCACAAAAAATTTTATTTGTAGAAAACACTTTTCAACAAATGAAGAGGTACTATCTAAGACCTTTCGAAAAACTACTATAAATATAGGATCTAAATTAGGTTAATTTAAGATTAAAAATAAAGATCCGTTGGGATAACACTTAAAAAACGTTGCTTCTATGCAAGATTGAGAAGACCAAAACAGGTATAGAGACCAAAGCGTTCAGCACATAGAAAACAGCAAAATATAGAAACGACTCCCACATTTAAAAAAAGTGAACCAACCTAATAAGTCAGTTAATCTGACTGTGTCTCCAATTTTAAGAAAAGACAGCTTTGTTACATCGGTAAAAAGGAAAACTTCTACCTTGTAAAGACCTACTCTATTTTATTAAATTAAGATGTTATTATGGCATCTGAAGCGGTGTTTTCCTTTTCAGCCTCGTAAAAATTTTTGAGGGGGACAAGAAATTCGGAGCAAGAGTGTTGAGATGCATTTGTATTTGGTCATTGTTTTTTCTGGCTACCGTTTTTACTTCGTCTCTCACCGGAATTGTCATAAGGTCCCTATGAATTTGATTGTTAGTTACATACCATGGAGTGTTCACTATTTCTCCTAGATTTTTAGACTGCAATCTTTGAAGATTTCGATGTTGAATATTGAGGCTCTTTCCCATAGTTGAGTACCATAGGTCCATATTGATTTTAGTACACTTTTGCATGTTTCGGTATTGAATCCTAAGAGATTTTCTATTGTTATTGTTACTGACACGTATTTAGAAATACGTTATCGTTCACTTCTGTAGAACCACAGCTATGACAAAATGTATTATGGAATAAACAAATTCTTATTGCATTTTTTGTAAGAAACAATAGACGGTTAGCAATAGACAACCGATACCGTAGTGTTAAAAAGCTTTAGTTTAAGTAGCTCACTGGTGCGTTTCTTGTCCAAATTTGACTTTTTAACTTTTTTAACTTGTTGCTGAATGTTTTTCTTTGATGGTCAGTTAATTTTAGAGAGTAGTTTGCCTGCTTTGATGGTCCTATAACCTGCTATCAATATAAGTTGTACACTGATAAGTTAAGCGTACTTATTAAGAACAGCCTGTCATTATATGGGACTGCTTAGGATAAAGCTAAAACGCTTATTAGAGCTTTGGTAGGAACCTAACTGTCTGAGAAGAGCATTAGCATATAAAACATTATTCCGAGAATCGTTGGACTGAACGTATTGAAGTAAAGCTAATTATGTTAATATATTATTATGTGAAGCTAATTTGAGCCAGTGCACTTGAGCACTTTTACTCTCTATTAATTCGAGGTATCTTCAAAACCCCACTTTACGGCTTGACTGGATTAAGTCATTTCATTTTTGTTTTTCCAACTAAAAGTAGTTCCTTTTTGATTTTCGATATCTATCCTAGTGTTGCATCTTACTGTTACTATCTCTTCAAATAAACATTAATAAAAAAAAAAATTGTGCTTTAATAAAAAACACTTTGATGATAAAAATAATTGCATGAATTTGAATTTTAATTATTTCTGTTTAAATTTATTAAATCAAATAAAATTCAAAAGACCATCTGCTCTAAGGAAAATAACTATGGAATATTTTCGTGTTAACTGAAGCTTTATCAAATATATTTTAATGTCGCTAATGGAAAAAAATCTTAAAGTTGAAAAAATAAAAACTTCATTTGAATATTGAGAAACTTTCACCGAGTGTCAAGACATTCCCCACAGACTTTTTAAATAAACTTTCTCCATATTTCAATGGCTTCGTTCAATTCCTTTTGGCTTCCCTTTGCTTCTTTTCAGAATCTACACAGTCATTTTATTTATTTTTTTTTTTTGGCTCTCCAATATAATTTTGATTTGAGTCTGCATGCAAATGGCATATAAATCAGTGCAAGAAAATTGCTTTATGTTCTTATGAATAATTTTATCATTATTTTGCTATTTATGTGTGGTATGAAAAGGATATGCAACTTATGTTCGGGCTCAACAAATAACAAAAATAAAAATTTTATTAAGTTTATTTATTCGATATATAGAAAATTCGTTTCCAAAACTTTTGATATAATTAGAAGATACAATTGAAACTTTTGTGAATTGAAGAGTTTGATTGTGCTACACATTTGCAGTATAATATATAAATCTAATCATTTTCAGATTATATGCAAAGTTTGAATATCCTTGTGATAAATAATTAGCAATGCTTTCATTTGTTATTAGATATTTCACACTATTGGAAATGAATGTAACGATAGTTTTGTCAAGACTAGTGTAATTAAGTAAAAGAGCCGGAACACATACTCTGAGATTGGAAAAAGTAGACTGTAGGGCAAGATTAATTATCTGCAACAGTAGCGGAGCATGGACGCAGGGCACACCGATGGAAGTCTTAAATGACTAATAGGGACCCTACCTCGAAGTAATACTAACGTAGTCCCGGGGTAGAACAAGGTCTCTAGGAATGAGGGGGAGTGGTTTAGCCCGTGCGAGTCGGGCACTCACCTTCCGGGTGGTCAGTGCGTAGGCATTTCACTCCTCCTTGCCGCAAAAAAAAAAAAAAAAAGTAAAAGATAACTCGAACTTCTATAACTCGAATTTCACTATAACTCAAACAAAAATTTTTTTCCGTATCGATAGGAATAAGGGAAAGTGCATTCTATAAGCCGAATTTTTGTTTTAAGTATAAATGCATTTTGCTGTTAGGGGAAGTCCCTTTTTTCGAACCAAATGTTACATTTTTTTCTTTCTTATATTGCTTCTTTGTGTAAATTCCAGTCGCTGGCAGCGTGGTTTAAAGTAAATAAAATAACTTCTAATGCTACTCTTAACGATTATATTAAGCTTGACAATAAAATTTGTATATCAACCTTTGATACAAATGACGATATTAATGAACACTATAGCTCTAAAGTAAATTTTTTAAAATGTAATTCTAAATTCTTTCAAAAATAAAAAAGAAATGAAAAAATTCTCTAACTCGAGGTCTCCATAAATCGAACCCTTTCTTTGCAAAATTGGACTTCGAGTTATGGAACTTTGACTGTATTTATCGTTGACGGTTTTTTTCTATGTCGAAGAACATTCCTTATATATTATATATTTAACTACTTATGAATATGGGTCATTTTTTTACAAACCGGACGGATTTTGGCAAATATGACCTCATGATCTCCGATTTGGCTGAAATTTTTTTTATGAGCTCCTCGGGAAAAAATTTTCTGATTTCCTAGGAGATAAATAAAAACCATAAAAAAATATTTTGCTTTTAACTCCTTACAGTTTATTTCCTATAACATTTTTTACCTGTGCAGAGTATTTTTCCAACTGTAGCAAAATAACACTTCACCGAAAAATGTTGGAGTGATTATGTGCTGCAGTTTCTAGGTAGTTCGGCTAGTACGAAACTAATTAACTTCTTAATTCATCTATATAAGAAAAAAACTAATTAAACGGTTTAATTATGTTAAAAATCATAATTTAAAAACAGAAATGATGCGGAACTAATTTAAAATGTTAATATATTATGTATACATTTATTTAAAAAATAATAAGTAAACAGTTTTGCATAGTTTTTCTTCGAAAATTGATTTTGTGGTGTTACAGTGCGTATGAGTAACGTGAAGGGCACCTGATAATTAATTTTTTTTTTAAATACTTCTAAAAAGAATATCACAGTGGAAATATTTATTTTTTTAATAGAATTTATATATTAATTTGAATCAAAAATAAAAAAAAAATTGTGTGACATATTCCTTTCTTTTTTTTTTACTGAAAAATCGTACGTATATATTTAGTGTGGTATGAAGGATAAATAAATTTTTAAAAGTACTTCCAATTACAATATCGTCCTGAAATTTTTGAATTTTATGTAGAATTTTATTGCTGATCGAAATCAAAAATATTAAATAAGAATATATATAGTATATAGTATATTCTTTGAAAATTCATTCAATAAAAATGTAGTACGCATGTGCTTGATGTGTTTTGCGGGAGAAAAAAAATATTAAAAAATTTCAAAAAATAACGGGTTCCTGAAAATTTTTATTTCGTAGTAAAACTTAAAACTGAATCTAAATAAAATATAAAAATAAAAATTTTGCTGTGTTTTGAGAACAATTTTTTTTTTTAAATTTAACGGTTAATATTAGTGCTTAAACATTTTACAATTTTAATTGTTTAAACAATCTCATAAAGGTTCAATCAATAATCTTTGAAACGCTGTAAATTTGAAGTTTCTTCCTTTTATAGAACTTGAGATATAGCCATTTGAAAATGTGTCTACTATGCCAATTCTCAAAACCCCATGGGTCCATATCTCCTAGAAAAAAAATCACATAATTTTTTCCTGAGACACGGGTCTTCTTATTTTATGAAAAGAGATCATAAAAAAAATTACAGCCAAATCGGAGATCATGAGGTCAAAAAGGTGTCCGAGTTGTAAAAGAATGACCCATATGCTTTGATGAATATTCCTAGGAAGATGTAACTCTATTCATAGAGTAATAACATTCATGTGTATATGATTTATCATAAAATTTATTAACATCATTGTTCCAAAAAAAAATCAGGAGATTGTGTACAGTAAAGCCGCTGACGGTTAGTAATAGGGAACACTCAGAAAAAGCTTAACTTATCTTAGTTCAATTGCAGTGAGTATTAACAAATGGAATATCTGATGGAATTATATTGTATGTACAGTACACTTACTTGCATATAACTTGCATGTATTCCATAAGCTTTCAACTTGAATGTCATACAATAGAAATGCAATAATAGCAACAAGGAGCACAAAAGCGACTTCAATAAGTTGCATGCAATAATTTATGGAGTC